TTTTTAAAGAATTAAGTGATTTATTAAAATAGTTGCTATCTAACAATAAAACACCAAATCAATTAAAAAATGGCGTTAAATTGCTAAAAGAATTGGAATGATTCGCATGGAATCTTTTTTGACCTGAAAAACACCTTTTTAAAAAAATTAAAAATATGTAAATTATCAATATCAATATTCAAATAAAGAAATTTGTTTTGATTGATTTATTTACAGTTTCTTTTAGAAGAGTTTAAATTGAAGTTTTGTCAAAATGCATCAGAAATTTGACAAATTACCAGAAGTACTTTTCTGTTTGATTGAGCCTTAACTGTAAGTATTGCTTAGTTAAGTACATGTAGGTGGTGATCACGTCATCTTCATCTATTTTTTTTTTTTGTACCCAAAACTAGGGGTGTCACGGTTAGAAAAATGCTTACCGTTTAATCGGCGATGTAATAACAGTGTTGAACGTTTAACCGACCATACTAATAAAATCATTAGATTTTCAACATTATCTTTGTTTCTTTATGACAAGATATGCCATATTATTTATATTTTGTTGTACTCAAAATGATTATAATACATATTCGAATATGGAGTAACTATTTTTCCGCTAGGGTTGGACCATATTCAATCAGATTGGAAAAAGTACATAGTAGAGTATATAACTTAAATACAAACAATTGTAATATCTTGTCATAAAAATTATGGATATTTAGTATCAAGTTAAACGTTTTATGCCCCTAAGTCAAATACAAAGCTTGGTTACTGGTTCTTGAATTTTCTAACCAATTTTTAGTTAAAAAACGACCATACCTGTTTAAACAGATAAATGTGACACCCCTACCCAAAACTTATCCTGCAGAATTCGTGGAATTGACTCACTTTTTTTAAATTTTGGGGACTGTCCTTTTTAAAGGGGGTTTTAAAATAAAATACCTAAATGAGGATTTGGGTCATGTTGACTTGTTAAAACACTGGGGGAAAGAAAGGTTGATATATTCTGCAGGTAAAAGATAAGAAAAGATACGGGGTGAACTTCTGCCATTTTCAGGTTGTTTCACATTCATTTTTCTCCTCAATCTTGACATAATTATTGGTTTCATATTGATATTGTCTTTAAGTAAAAGACATTTTTTTTCTATTTCCCTTGAAAAAATTAAAGGAAACAACAAAAGATAACAGTACAATATTTGTTGAAATGTAAGTCTTAAATGAACTTTCATCCCTTTTTTGGAACTGCATAAATTTTTTAGAAAAAAATTTAAAGTTTTGGAGTAATCCCAAACATAAAGAGTCTGGCAACGCACCGTTTGGCGGGCATCCCCTTCCTTTTACTTTTCCAAAGGGTTATACCTGCTTTAAAGGGGAGCTTTGGGTTAAAATTTATTAGGTGCATGGTCACTTTTTTCAAATATGATAAAGTATATTAAACACCAGACATTAATTTGAAAATAAAAATTTAACTTTCCTCATTTTCAGCATGATAAACAAGTTGAAACTACATTTTAATGTAACACTACCAAAATTTGCTGTCATTACTTACTGCAGAGACAGCCAATCAGAATATGATAAATGAGCCGCGTCATGACAAAACCAACGTAATGGGTTTGCGACCAACATGGATCCAGACCAGCCTGCGCATCCTTGCAGTCTGATCAGGATCCATGCTGTTCACTTACAAACCCTATAACAAGTAGAGAAACTGATAATGAACAGCATGGATCCTGATCAGACTGCGCAGGCTGGTCTGGATCCATGCTGGTTGCAAACCCATTGTTGGTTTTGTCATGATGCCGCTCAAATGTTTTTTTTTTAAGACTGGTGCTATGTTATATATTTCAGGCACTACAGTATCTTTTACAACCAGTCTTGGAATCTTTGATATACATGGATAGAAAAATATGGTTGTGTGAAAAAGGCTTGCAGGCAGATATCATACCTGTATTTGATGAATTGATTTCTCCAAGAAATCTGGCATTAGTTGCTTGGAAATAAAATATAATGTAAAACAAGATGTGTTTTGTCAATGTCTCCATCTCAAGTATTGTCAAAAGGGAGCGGAGGTCTTGCTGTTAAGGTGTCTGTGACGTGTCTCTCAACCCAGGGATTGTGGATTTGAAACCTACTCTGGTCATAATATTGTTCTTCATGACACTAGTACTTGTTAGTTCAAGGAAGCAGACTCAGAAGTGATATATATAATGTGTCAGGACTTGTTTTATAATTAAGCTTAAATAAATGATATGTTAAAAAACCCATAATGCCTCAGAAATGCCTTTAATTGTAGAATGCAGTGTTATTTTGGTGACCTGTTATAGTTTCTAAAAAGTTACTCAATGGCCAATAACCTGAACCATCTTTTGCCTCTGTTACCTTTGGCATAGTTATAGTGATTTTGTATGGAAGTCATAATACTACTTTGTTTACATTTTACTATGTTTATGACACATAAATTCAATTTCAGTGTGACTTTGCTCATGTGATAAACATTTTTAAACCCATTTTTATATGCCCGAAAGAATTTCGGGCATATTATGTTATACCCTCTGGCGTCCGTCCGTCTGTCCATTAGCAATTTGGTTTCCGGAGCATAACTTAAGTTCCATTTGGCCCACAATATTCAAACTTCATACTAGGATTATTGCCCATATTGGGTAGAAGACCCTTATTGATTTTGGGGTCACAAGGTCAAAGTCACTATGACCTTAAAACTGAAAACACTTTCCGGGGCATAACTCAAGTTCCATTTAGACCACAATATTGAAACTTCAAAGGAGGATTGTTATTTGAAGGAGGAAATACTTTATTTAATTCCCATGTCTTACAAATGCATCATCTTAATTTAAAAAAAATCACTTTTGGGCATATAATGCTCCGCCAAGCGGTGCTCTTGTTAACTGTTATTAAACTTCTTTGTCTTTTCTGAAGAATGTTTCTGAGGCATAATGTGCATTTTAACTAAATATCTTTATACTAGTAACAGCAAAAATATGATGAAATTTCCTCAATTTTGATCTTAAACACACATGATCAAACAGAAACTGCAACATTTTCTTTTCGGCTAAAGGTTCTTGCTTTTTCACTGTCATAACTTACCCGAAATTTAGTTCAATGTCATGCATTTCAAATCATGATAGAGGTTAAAGCATACAAAACTTGTGCCTACCATTGATGCTGGGACAGGTAGAATATTCTTGAATATCTGAGTTAAAATATACTTATGTATATGTATTGTTAACAAACAAGAGGGCCATGGCCCTGAAATCGCTCACCTGTATATAGGACCAAAGGCGGGGCCACTTTTAACCCAGGGGCTTTTATTTGAACAAACTTGGTAGATGCCCATTTGTAGATGTTTCATGATAAATATCTCTTCTAAGCTCTAGCTCTAAGAAGACTTTTTAAGTTTTTACTATACACATATTGGGAAAAACAATGACCCCACCCCCTCTGGGCGGGCCAATTTTGTCCCTAGGGCTTTTATTTGAACAAACTTGGTAGACACTCACTAGAAGATAATTCATGCTTAATATCTAAACTCTAGCTCTTTGGACTTTTTAACAGAAGATTTTTTAAGTTTTTACTATACATATGAGGAAAATCAATGATCGCCGGGGCAGGCCCAATTTTAACCCCAGGGCCCTTATTTGAACAAAAATGGTAGACACTCATTAGAAGATGTTTCATGCTAAATATCTTAGCTCTAGCTCTAAGGTTTTTTAAAAGAAGATTTTATTTAAGTTTTTACTATATACATAAAGGGAAAAACAATGACCCCTTGGGCCGGGGCCAATTTTGACCCCAGGGCTTTTATTTGAATAAACTTTGTAGACACCCACTAGAAGATGTTTCATGCTTAATAGCTAAGCTCCAGCTATTTGGTTTTTTTTTAAAAAGAAGATTTTTTTAGTTTTCACTATATACAAACAAGGAAAATCAATGACCCCCCCCCCCCATGGATGGGGCCAATTTTGACCCCAGAGCATTTATTTAAACAAACTTGGTAGACACTGACTAGATGATGTTTCATGCCAAATATTTAAGGTCTAGCTCAACCAGAGTTCTGCTTGGAATTAAATTCTTTGTACAATTTTTAAAGTTGACTACCAAAGGAACATTCCTGTGAAGTTTGGATGAAATTGGCTTAGTGGTTTATGAGGAGATGTCTTTTAAAGTGAAAGTTTACGGCCGGACAAAAAGCGATCACAAAAGCTCGCCATGTCACTTTGTGACAGGTGAGCTAATAAGCAAGATAGCTATACAATGTACTTCAAACAACTTTTATTTCAATTATAGAAAAGTACAAATTACCTAGCATATAACAAAAATGATTTTAACACATGTACATTACAATCAGTCAAAATACTTGAAACTTAAATGTACCTTTTCTCCATAAGAATAGTAAGTATGGCTATAGCAGAAACATTCATTAACTAATATACTGTCAATAAAAATTAACAAATATACAACACATTGGAACTTTATCAATTCTCAAGCCAAACTCACTCTTTTTTCATGTCTGATTAATTTAAAACTACTTGCATTACCTAACTATAAAATAATTAAATATGGTAAACAGAAACTGAAAAATTCATCTAAAACAATAACCAGTTTAATCCTTTACTGATTGGTCATTTCAAATATAGAATCAGCCAATCAGAATGCATGATTCATAGACTGGAGGAAGAACCTTGTTAAATCAACAATAGATGAAACTGAAAAATGCTTTGGCCTATAGGTTAAATCTAATGCTACAGTAAATGAACATTATATGCAGTGCCTTTTAACTTTGATTTGTAAGCACTGCTTACTTACTCTATGTACTGACCCATTCATTATATTGATATAAAGTCTTAGGAATAAAATACTTAAATTAACATCTCATATTCTCTTCATCCGCACCACAATTTTAACAATTTTGATTAACAACACAAAGTGTCAAACCCTAAACCCATTGGTCACGGGTTATACACACTGGAATCACAACTCGTATGACATCTTCATATGACATATGTACCTGTTGTTTTCCCAAGAAACTACATGTTATACCTGCTAAATTTGTGTAATTGATATACCCTACTTTGAATTTATCAGGATTCAGTATTTAAATAAAACAAATTGAGATTCCAACAGTATACAGCATGATCAAGCTGTAGCACAGATGTGCAACCAACAGAATTTGTTTTTAGGTCAAGTTCTATGTTACAACACTGTGAAGGTCATAATATGGTGACATTCTCGCTTTACTGCTGAAGAAAGACTTCATGTGCCCTTCTGTGTATTATTTCCGGCACAAACAGGCACTCGAGTAGGACCACCTGATGTTCCTAAAGCTAGCTGCTAGCTAGAGAGCTTCCTTACATGAAAGAATTAAAAAATTTTGGCAGGATTCTAACCCACAACTGCAAAGGAACCAACAAAAGATAACATGAATAAGGCTACCCTTTTTTCCATATACAATGTTCTAAAGAATTATTCAGATTGGCATTCAAAAAACTTGAAGTACAAGTCACTTTTTTTATTGTAAAGATCAAATCAACAGAATAAATCTTAATAAATTCGGTACAAAAACAGTTTTTCAATTACACATAAAATTACAATTAGTAATAAAATCCATATATCTTTCTATTAACGCTGCAATTTCATTCTATAGCCTAAAATCAATATTATTTAATCCTTAATCTACTGTATTTTGGTAATGGATTTGCCCTGCTTTGAATTTGGAACAATCCATTTAAAATTGTAGGGATTTCAACATCAAAATATACAAAAATTAAGCTGTCAGCAGTATAGAGCATAGTGAGATTTTCAGACGGGCCCAGTATCTATCGATACTGATGTGAAAGGTGAATCACTTGGCTCCAGCCGGGTAAGGGCTTATGCTTTTACATCAATCTGTAGCCAATCCTGTGTGTTTTTTCCCTTCAGAGATCTCTCATTAACATCTCTACCATGTCCATGTCTTGATGATAATTTAACACGCATATTGTCTCTCAAAAAAAAACGCAGACATAATTTTCCTTATTGGCAGAACTTTGTGATTGTCAACACCTTAAATAAGTACTACACGCTCAGTCCACTCGAGTGTTATGATATTTTTTCTTTCAAGAAATAATGTCAACATTTCGGCACTACTGCCTTCAGTTTATTGTAAATCTTCTTTCGTAATTCAACAATGAATGTGGTCGTCTTTCTACCTTCTATCTAATGATGAGGTCCTTTTAACTAGTACTGAAACATAGAAAACTAACAAAATTAATTTTTTCAGCAGCTCTTTAAACAATACAAATATTATTTTTAGGATAGTAAAAGTAAAAATACAGTGACTGCATTATTCATAAATGAACTATAAAAATTAAGATAGCTTCCAGTCTAATCCTTTTTGTATTGTTTGTAAAATGTCATGTGTATAGATATGTTCTTTTGTGACAATTAATATATATTTAAACTAAAATTTAGTGATATATAAGTGTTCGGTAGATTTTAAAAGACTTATTCTTTAAAAGACCACAATATTATACCAAATATATGCATACCTGTCAATGTTTAGACGTCCGACAATGTCTCGAACTTGTGCGATCAGTTTCTCATTTTTCTGCGGTTGTTCAAGTATGACAGAATGCAGTCGAGCCATGTATGTATCTATAGTCTCCAGGGTGGGAATCTCGTTACTACCTGAACAGTGAAATAACAGACAAATTATCTAAACAGATCTATACAACATATACGGGGTATCTATAGTTTCTAGATTCTTGATCTCATTTAGAGACAAGTTATCACATCAGATCTATACTTCACTTATATAAATTGCATACAGCTATCTATAGTTTCTAAGGTCTGCATTTCATTTTAAAGTGGAAATTATCACATCATCTATACTGCAGCTATATGAGCTTCCTACAGGATATCTATAGTTTCCCTAATCAGCATTGTAATTACAGTGAAAAAGAGACGAGTTATTACATCAGATCTATACTAAAACTATATGAGTTTCATACAGGGTATCTATAGTTTCCCTAGTCAGCATTGTAATTAACAGTGAAAAAGAGACCATTTATCACATCAGATCTATACTACAATTATATGAGTTTCACACAGGGTATCTATAGTCTCTCGTTTCAGCATCTTATTTTAGAGTGAATAAGAATCAAAGTTATCTCATCAGATCTATCTATAAATGACCTCCATCAGTTCCTATCATTTTCCTTCAGTTAGGTTTTAAATGTAACGGGCAACAGGTTTGAAATGTAACAGGCAACAGGTTTTAAATGTAACGGGTAACTCTTCTATTTTACTGGTGGTAGACCGTATTGTTATTCTCAGCATTTTTAGGAGCTCAGGCACATGAGCAGAACTGTTTGTCTATTATAAACCTTGGTACTTCACGCACATGAAAGAATCCAAAGTCACTGTTTGGACTTGAAACCACAGTCTACATGATTCAAAGACGACCACTTAACCACTTGGTCATACAGCCCCAACTAGTGACAATTAGCCCTTCGCCTGTAATGTATTTTATCCATGCCACAAGGGCAGACAAAGTTCAGCCAGCAAATTTTAACTGATCATGGTCTGCACTGTTCGCTATTCAGTCAGATCATATTTTGCCTAAGATTGTAAATTAGTTTTGTCTAGAATGAAAGATGAGAAAGTCTTTTTAAGATATTTTATTAAGGTAATAGTAAGAAGGAATAATAATATGAATAAGACAACTACCTGGCAGTGGTATATTGTTGAAGTTTGCTGTTAAAGTTTGTCTTAGAGCATCAAGGTGACCTTGTAATGCCATGTTGTTATTCCTCTGCTGAATAGCTTCAACTTGAAGTTTGTCTATAGCCTGAAACAATGATAATATGAGCCGCGTCATGACAAAACCAACATAATGGGTTTGCGACCAGCATGGATCCAGACCAACCTGTGCATCTGCGCAGTCTGATCAGGATCCATGCTGTTTGCTTACAAACTCTATTACAAGTAGAGAAACTGACAGCAAAGATTGGACCAGGTTATAATAAAAAATAAAATTCTTGACCAATACATGTATATTTCTCTAAGAAATAATGAAAGTACTCATGTTGGAGAAAATGTGTTTAGGAAAACTTTCATTTTTCTTCGAGTTGTTATGCAAAACAAAAATAAAAGAAATAGGATATCTAACCTATATTGCCAAAGAAGTATTGCTTTGAAAATAAAATTGAAACATAACAATGACCACTTACCTGTTTCATATTTTCTATATGTTTACTAAGTATAGCATTTTGTTCTTCTAGCTCTGTAGTCTGTTTACGTAGCTGTCGTAACTCCCCTTCTCTAGCTGTAAGAATAATTTCATTAAATATAATCAAAGAATTCACATGAAAAACATGTTACCCCTGACACTAAGAATTTGCTTTGTTTGTATTTAAGTAAAAAATATACTGTTATGGAATAGTGTCAACTTTGAAGCTCTACTGATTGACTAGGATCAAAGAACCAATATAAAGCAGACAATATTTTGTGCAAAAATATGACATACTGTATAAGTTGGATAATTTCTTTTATAAAAGATTTAAAGGCATCTATCAATATTTTTACCAACATCAGATGCAGACTGAAAAGAGTTAAGCTACCTAACAATGTCCTATACTTATCTAAAACATGAAATATTTATTCATTTCTGGGGCATAATGTGCTTAAACTGTAAAATGGACTTGCTGTCAATTTATAACAGTCCATTGTCTTAATAACAAGGAATCAGTATTACAGTTTGGTCAGATTTCAAACCAAAAAACTTAACCAAAGTGTGTGGTGAGTGCAATAGCTCTCCCTATTTCTCTAAAAGTAAAGCTAACAAAAGAGTTAAAATAAAGAGTGATAGTAATATTACCTTTATTATGATCGAGGAACTCTTCAGTAAAGATAGGAATCTCAAATGCACTAGTGTCATTCTCTTCTTCTTCCTGTAACACAATCTTATATTTTTATCCTTTAGGAATTAGAATCTAATAATGAAGCATGAAACATACTGTATAAGTGGGTATTTCCGCGTGTTGAAAAGTTAGCGAATTTAAGATTATTAGCGAATTTAAAATTATTGACATTTCCTGTGAGGAAGTAGCAAATCGTGCAAGGGTAGAATTTGATGACAGGTTGGTTGATATCAATGCTAGAAAAACTTTTAGCGATTTTTGTCAATTCGCTAAATTTGCCAATATTTCCGCGTCGCTAACTTCACCACTTTTACAGTATGAAAATATAAAATTACAATTGTGTATCTTTAAAATTAAAACTATCAACAAATGATTATCAAACATGTAAGGCCCATAGCAATTCTTTTTAAGTTCGGACTGTAGTTCTGACTGGCAAAACAAGCTTTTTAAGGTCACGGTCAAAGTGACCTTTAACTTTGTTTAACTGACATCAATATCAATAAGGGTCATCTATTAGTTATACAAGGTCTGATCTACAACCAACAATCTGAAGTTTAACATCAATGCAGATATGATTGATTTTAACATTGATTTTAACACATTTGTGAACATATATATTGGTGGTTATATCCTTTTTCAAAGCTTACATGGATAATTAATCAATATATATTAATATTTGTTCACAATTGACTGAAAACAATAAACAATTTGTATCATCATGGGAGTGATATCATAAATATCTCATTGTAAAATATTTAAAGCTCCACGCCACCAGATGAGCGAAAATATTTCAATAAAATCAAACCTGAGAAAAATGTACTAAGATTTTAGGAAAAGTGTAAAGATTCAAAGTTCTAGTAATAATTTACGTATAATATGCGATTAATGACCGATTTTTCAGTATTTATAACTATATTTCTACTGCGTTATTAACGCAGTAAGGGCTATTTTTGCATATTTTGTCCTCTTTTGAGTAATTTACGTGGGTTGTAAGTGCCATTGATGCTTCCTTTTGGTTATTTCACTGAATAATTCTTTTAAAAACATTTTCAAAATTTTCATGAAAATTAGCATGAATCTGGAGGCGTGCCATAATAAAATCAAAGCAAAATAATAAAAAATATATTATTTACCTCCACTCCACTACTATCTTTATCCATTTCAGCTAAAAAACAACAACAAAAACAACGTTAATTATGTATAGTAAAATATCGAAACATTTTGCAACATGTAGAATCAATTTTCTCTTTAGAACTGCATTGATTTTAAGTGTAGATACTGTAAACTCATTATATTTTCTTATTCACAACTTTTTTTGGTGATTTATTGGTGATGATATCATCATTAATACTATAAAGATTGACTAAATTTAACTTTGCTAACTAAATCTATCACCAGATTTAATCTTTCCGGAATGATGGCAAGAAATTCTCATGCATTATTAATTATAAGATCCAAAAAGAGTTAAAAATTTCCATCAACAAAAAAATGCAAGTTTACATCATACAGCTGTTACTGTAATAATGAATGGAAAAAAAAACTACTCATTCATTAACTAACCATGTTTAATGATGATTTGAAACATGACTCTGAAACCATTCCATTTCAAATCCATACAAACTGGGCTAAAGTTTAAATTTTTTCTTCAACCTTCCCCCTTATGAACCTCAATAGACCTGTCCAACATCTGTTATGGAACTGTCTAAATCATTAACTTTACAAAAATTTAAGAGGAAAATTTAAAGTCAGTCAGCCAGCTGTATTGAGACAGTCCAGACTGCACCCTGGCCAGTGGGTTTATACTTGTGACAAAAAAACACTGTTTTTTTGGTTCCTGAAGTATAATAACCATCATCCTGTCCCTAAACGCCATTATAAAATTGTTGAGGACAATGTTGTTCATGATCATTCAAGAGATTGACTATCTTCCTACCACTTACCACAAGATGAATTTGTTTTGTTAACATTAAATGTATGTGTTATATTATTTTGAAATAAGCTCACAACATGTGATTTGGCCACTTTTTATGAAGTAATGCTGATTTTGTGAATGATGCATTGCGGTCGCACTTGTGTCTGAATTAAATTTATACGTTTCCTTTAATTGTCATATGAGTAGTAGGTTGGCAAATGTCTTTGGATTACCAAAATTTAAAAACAAGTTGCAGGTTTAAGATTACCTTTCATACGTTTCTCTTGTTGTTGTTTAAACTGTTTGTACGACTCTGTTTTCTGGTAGGCTTCCATCTCCCTGTTATATCTCTCTTTATCTCGGTCAGCATCGTCCAGATATTTCTGTAAAATGTAGGTAATATCATACTAGTGATATCAATGTGTTTTAACTTTAACTTTATCTCGGTCAGCATCGTCCAGGTATTTCTGTAAAATATGGGTAATATCATACTAGTGATATCAATGTGTTTTAACTTTATCTCGGTCAGCATCGTCCAGGTACTTCTGTAAAATATAGGTAATATCACACTAGTGATATCAATGTGTTTTAACTTTATCTCGGTCAGCATCGTCCAGATATTTCTGTAAAATATAGGTAATATCATACAAGTGATATCAATGTGTTTTTAAACTTTATCTCGGTCAGCATCGTCCATATATTTTAGTAAAATATGGGTAATATCATACTAGTGATATCAATGTGTTTTAACTTTATCTCGGTCAGCATCGTCCAGATGTTTCTGTAAAATATGGGTAATATCATACTAGTGATATCAATGTGTTTTAACTTTAACTTTATCTAGGTCAGCATCATCCAGATATTTCTGTAAAATATAGGTAATATCATACAAGTGATATCAATGTGTTTTAACTTTATCTCGGTCAGCATCGTCCAGGTATTTCTGTAAAATATAGGTAATATACTAGTGATATCAATGTGTTTTAACTTTATCTCGGTCAGCATCGTCCAGATAATTCTGTAAAATATAGGTAATATCATACTCGTGATATCAATCTGTTTTCAGAATTCAACATGACTTATCACTAACAGTGATTCATACATTTACAGATCTGCAACTTTTATGCAAAATAAGGCAAATATAAGTATCTTGAGAATGCTTTTATATTACATTCATTTATAATCCAGTATGTTATTACAACACTTGTTAAAGTCGTGATTGAAACATCGATAGCAAAAATTAAAGTTAGACTGAGACTTGAACTATAGTTATTTTTGGCGTGGAACAAATTACCAATTCAACATTAAACATATGCAGGCAGACGTGAAAAAGTAAATCTATCTAATAACAAATACTTTTATATTGTTCGTAAATAAATTCCAATTTTCAATGGCATCCATCACTGGCCAAGAGAATAGCACAACACTGACCAATAGGCAGTATATCACATTTATAGCTTCATTTATATCAATATATTTTTGTTGTCAAAGTCAAACTTAAACAGTATTTATCCTATGAGTATATAAAAGACACTATATAACTTCATTGACACTACATGTATATATCTTCATTGTCAACTTGATATAATCCTAAAAAGCTTTACCATACAGCCTGAAAGGAACAAAGACCTGACCATCACCATACTATTCCCACAAAAACAATTATGGGACAGCTGGTGTACATTATCAAATATAAAATCATGATGACAGTTACAGATGAAGGATGTTTGAATTTACAAGTAGTGATGATAATGATAATCTAAAGGGTTGGTTGTCACTTAAAGCACCTTGACATATTTGTATTTTTTTATATCGAAAGTTTATTGTCACTTGAAATCAAATACAGAATATTTAGTTCCTATAAACACAATGATTATTGATTAAGCCCCTTTCTTCGTCTTCGTCTTTTTATGCTTCCAATACGTGACGAGGAAAATTTGCCACAACCCCTTACGGTTATGACAAAAATTACAATGTTTTACCAAAAATAGCAAAAAACAAAATATTTTCAATAGTAAATCAGGTTGATGTATATGATTTCATTGATTTTATAAGGCTATGAGCATACTGAATGTCATATAATCACATTGTGTTTATTAGCATATAATGGCTTAGTACCTATTATGGGAATGCCAAGGAATTTCCCAATGATATTGGAAATTTATGAGTAAAATACAATGATTTTTTTAAAAAATGTTTTTGTAATTGTCTTAACATTTTAGTATTTAAAATTTTTATATGATTTTTTATATGATTTTTATATGATATTTGTATTGAAGGATATATATAAAGTTCATTATTTCATGACAAAGCTGAAACATGAATAACAATTCCTAGAAAAGTATACTCATACAAAATAAAATTTCAAAGTTCATTATACATTTCAAAAATGCAATCATTGCTTTAAAGGGACTCAACTGAGGTTTTCTGAAATGAAGGAACTTATTTACCATATGAAGCAAGTCTGGACAAACAATTTGTGTCTAACATTACCTATCCTTCTCTCGCTTAATTTTTCCAGAATAATAATTAATTTTCTTTTGTGCATAATGGTAAAATATGTTTAAATGTTTTTACCCTCTTAGTGTATTTTATCATTATTTGTTGTGGAGATTCCAATTTTAAATGCACTTGTTAATATAGGTTATAATTTTTCAAACTTTGCGTTTAGGCTTTTTAAGCATCAGCTGAGTCCCTTTAATTTCAATTTGACTTAGAATTTGCCAGTGACATAAAAGTGTGAGACCATGTACGATTTCTGAAGTCCAGTTAATCTTCAATGAAAAAAGATACAAAACAATATAATTATTATACTTGAGAACTTCTGTCACATTTTGATAATAATCTAAAATGAGAATATACAAGGCATTCTATCACATTTGTTTTGAAAAACTTCTGTTCAATTTTGATGATAATCTAACAATTGGGAGTGGAGGGAAGGACAGGAACATTAACATATGAATGTATTGATAATAATCTAAAATGAGTATAAACAAGGCAATCTGTCAGTTGTTTTGAAAAACTTCTGTTACATTTTGATGATAATCTAACATGGGAGTGGAGGGAAGGACAGGAAAATTAACTTTATAAATATATATCAATGACCTTTTATCTCCATATTATTTTATTTAGTAGCATCTGGTACACACCCATAAACAGATGCTTGTATAACACTGTGTGTGGGTTTTTTAATATCCCACTAGTAAAACAAAAACATTATAACATGTATGATTTTTCAAGGCCGTTGTCCACAGTACCGGTGGTCCACAGCAATATTTGAAACTAGAACTATCACTAAATGCGATTTATACCCCCGCAAGACTGCTTCGAAAATGAGGATGTTACTAGTAACAGAATATCTTGTAAAAGAATTGAAATAGAGTTATAGTTGTGGGCAATTTAAGATAGTTGTGGTTCTTGTATGTTGCATTTCTTTTCAATGTGGTTGGCCATTGATGAAGTTTTATTGAATTACTCTGTAATAAATCCAGAAAGACCAGGATAAGGAACAAATGGCAATAACTCTACAAATACTGCAGATGGAGTTATGGTTCTTGTGCACTGCACTTCATCTCACTGCCCTTGACCATTGTATGAAGTGTCTATGAATTCCAATCATTAATTTGCAAGTTATGCACTGGACAATAAAGAGTAACAAAGGGCAAAAACTTTAAAATGAGTCAAGAAAGAGTTATGGTTTCTGTGCACTGCATTTCCTCTCAATATACTTGACCATTGTATGTAATACATGTAGTATTGAATTCAAACTAGTAGTTTTCAAGTTATGCTATGAACAAGAAAAAAGCAATGGAAAAGTAACAAAGGCCAATAACTCTATAATTACTCTGATAAGAGTTATAGTTCTTGTGCACTGCACTTCATCTTATTGTGCTTGACCATTGTATGAAGTTGTTTTGAATTCCAAACAGTACATTTTAAGTTATGTTCAAGACAAGGAAAAGTATCAAAGGGTAATAACATTGTAATTTGTCAATATGGAATTAGGTTCTTGTGCACTGCACTTCCTCTTAATGTGCTTGACAACTGTATTTAGTTGTATTGACTCCGGACAAAAAAAAGCAATGTAAAAAGTAACAAAGGGCAATAACTCTGTAATTAGTCAAGATGGTTCTTGTGCACTGCACTTCATCTTATTGTGCTTGACCATTGTATGAAGTTGTTTTGAATTCCAACCAGTAGTTTCCAAGTTATGTTTCGGACAAGGAATTGTTATAAAGGGCAATAACTCTGTAATTATTAAAGATGGAGTTATGGTTCTTGTGCACTGCACTTCCTCTCATGACCATTGTATGAACTTGAAGTAATATTGAATTCCAACCATTCAAATAATGGTCTGGACAAAAGAAAGCAATGGAAAAGTAACAAAGGGCAATAGCTCTGTAATTTCTTTAAATAGAGTTATGGTTCATGTGCACTGCACTTCCCTTTATTATGCTTGACAATTATATGAAGTTGAACATCAAATTTCATGGTATTGTACTTTTTCATGACTTCTATTGTTGGCATTGTACAATAAAGAGAAATAAAAAAAAAAACAAGAAAACATGGCAATGCCATGAAACCAGGTTTTCAATTATCACCATTGTAGATAAATATGTTGTATTTGAAATACAAATACAAGCAACAAACAATGTAACTATGTGCAATGTAAAACATGAATAATGTAGGAGGAATTGCCACAGAGGAAGTTTTCACTAAAAATTGAAAATTTGTTTTCAAATTTAAGTTTTATGAGTAAATAATACTTACCCGACAGTACCATATGGATTCCTTCCGTTAATTTCTCACAATTCGCTAAACTATTAACACCGGAAGTAAGCTCTTCAATTAACTCCCCTTACTTCCGCCACGTGTTAAAGATGTCAGTTTCAAATGAAGGCGACCAAATCGCCCATGAAACTTTAACAGAGAGAGGGGTAGGTTAGGGGTGGGTAGTGTACTGTCGGGTAAGTATTATTTACTCATAAAACTTAAATTTGAAAACAAATTTTCAATTTTCATTTCGTAAATAAACTTACCCGACAGTACCATATGGATTAACCCAGATTAAAAAAGCAGTAAACTGAAAGGAGGTGGGTAGTTAAGTTTCAAAAAAATATCTATTACATTCATTAATAAAACATAAACTTGTTTTAATATCAAATGAAAAATAGACACATTAAACACTTACCTAAAGTGTTTCCCAATATTTCCACACCATGTTAAGTAAAACAATACCAGTTGAACATGTATAACTGCTAACCCACTATTTACAGTTGCACAACAATATATATAAGTTCATCCCAACTGTACAAGAATACCGTAAATACTCAAATTTACAAAAACATCCAGTCGCAATTCGCCGGAAAAACAGAGTTTGTAC